CAGAGAATCACCTCAAAATGTAAGTGCTGCTCTGGCACATGCCTTGTGCTTGGTAAAACCTTGAGTTTAGACATTTGAGGCACCTTGAAGTTTTGTGGATGGAAATCCTGGCCAAGCCACCTACCACCCACCTCTGTGGGGTTTGTATGATGGCTAGGGGATTTGCCTCCAGGTTTTGATAGTGATTTGCTTGAGGGATGAAGTGTCATGCAGGTAAATACAGTGGAAGTATTTTTCTTTTACTGTAGGGAGGCTGCAGAGGACAGGGGAACCTGGTCCTGCCTTCAAACTCTCCAGAGGCTGCTGCAACCACTGGTTCTTTGGCACAGCAAAGGCACTGCAGTGTCACTGTTGTTTTAGAGAAATAATGGCTACAAACCCCGTTGGTCAATTGGCAGAAATGTGAAAGGGAAGCTTGGATTTTAAAACCCCAATTTGTCAAATCTGAGATGGAATTGCAGATATGCCTAAATTCCCCTTAGCTCCCTCACTCTGAAAGGTATGAGTCGTGTTGCCTTCAGCCTGCTGGAAAAGCAAGGGGAAAAGGCATCCCTGAGCAAAGTTCTTTCCCTGAAATATGTTTATCCTTGCTCTCAGCTGATGATCACAGTATCTCCCTCTCTGACACCACCATCACCACGACATGTGCACATACAGATGATGCTGCTGAGACGTGTGTGGGATTGACTTTAACCCTCTGTGTAACCAAAGGGGGTGAGTGAGTCTTATTCAGCCTTGACATGGCTTTTCCTCACCAGCCTGGCCAGGGTGCCACGGCAAGGTTTATACTCTCAGTCTTTCTTCATATGATAAACCTCCTCTAGATGACTTGTTTTTTAACCTCCTTTGACATTTAGGGCTGGTCTAGGGCTGGGATTTAATTCAAATTGTTTGAGGATGTGAATTTAGAGAGGAATAATTATTCTTGATTAACTCCCCATGTGGACAGTCTTCTTCCAAAATAAATGTGCTTTCTTTCAAATGGATTTAACTGACTCCAAGAAAACCAGTAGGTTGTTTTCTCTAAGAAAAAAAGGGTAGATACAAAATGAATAATACCTTTTTCCTCTTCAATTTGTTGAAAAATGCAAGAATTTTGAATGTTATGCAAGTTTTAACTGAAAATTGCTGTATGTTATTACGTATAATTTGCACCTCTGATAAACTTGCACGCTGTTAAAATTATTGTTCCATGAAAATAATTACACAGCAGCCAACATAATTAGACAAGCAGCACAAAATCAGAGGCAGAAAGGTAGGATGAGACTGTGACTGAGAGGGTTGTTTATAGGGAGGTTGCTCTGAGGTGTATTTTATTCTATCCACACACTCACACACATCCTGATTTGCTGAAACCAAAACTGATTACAGAATGTAACAAGCCTCAGAAAAAAACTTGACCAAAAAAAAGCTTCTCTGCTTTAGGATGGATTTTCTATTCCAAAAAGAGCAAGAAAAACCAGGGGTCCCAGAACAATCAATACTCTGCTGTGGGAAATCAGAGATTGGGATGCCAAAAAATGTCCAGCAACCCCAGTGGTGGAGGCTGTGATGCTGCTGATACCTGTGGTACCCAGAAGGGAGAGCTGGTTAGGCAGGGCTCTGACTGCCAAGTGTCACAGATGAGCTCAGGTACTGATCTTGTATCATCCATATCATTGAACTGATCTCATCCCAAATATCACTATTTAAGAGTATTTTATAGGGACAGGGCAGGATGCAGTGAGCAATTTAGGGTGAAGAATATTTAGTATGAATCCAGACACAGCTCATATCATACCCTTGACAACAGGGCAGGGGTCTGGTCCTTGCCTTGTTGGTTACTAGGACAGACCTGCCCTTATAACCTGTTCTTTCTAAATATGTGCCCTGTCTAGGTGGCAATCCAGCCTTGCACAGGAATGTCCTCCTGGAACTAAAAAATCCTACCCCTGTGAAATTGTCATCAGAGCTGGTTCATGTGATCCTTACAAAAAACTGTCACCAACAGCAAATCAGTGTTTTCTGAATTAAAACAAGAGAGAAAAAAAAAAGCGCTACCTAAAATATTTAAAACTCTTGTGTGAATCAGTAGATGGGAAACCTTGTTCTGGGTCTTCCCAGATAGGAGGAGCTACCACTACTGGCCAACTGGAAAACACAAACCACAAGTTTTCTTAGCTTCCTTTTTTTTTTACCCAGTAGCAGTTTGCAGTGAAGCAGTGAGAGCCAGCAGCCCCTGGATCCCAGCTCTGATTTTGGGAACACACAGGAGCATACTGGGATCGTGATAATACAGAGGTCTACAGGACAGCTCAAGTGCAGAAAGATATGCAGAGCTCTGCAGAAACAGAGACTTGAACTGAAACTTCGGCAATCATACCAAGAGAAGGAGAAATCTTAAAGCTCTCAAAGAAGGTTTTTTCTTTGCTTTTCTGGCATTGCTCTCAGTATTGGGTTTCCCTGACCCTTCTTTGCCAAGATGGAGGAGCAATCAATAAACAGGAAACAATTATGCCACTCTTTTCAACGCAGAAAAGAAATCCTATATCCACATTTATCCACTTTCTCTGTTCACTTCAAGGTACATTATGAACCCTTAGTCACTCATACCAAGGCAGACCTTTCCCATCTTCCTGAAGAACAATATCCTAATGAAATGCATCCTTGTCATTGCCCAGCCATCGGGCCAAAACAGATCATGGTCAGTTAAGCTTCACTGCACATCTCACCACCATGGTCACCAGGTCCAGAACGAGCAGCAGCAATTGCACCACTTCTCTAGTCCACACACACCCAGCTTGTGGTGGCAGGGAAGGCACAGGCCTTACTGTGGGATGGAAATTGGATGTGGCAAATGCAAACATCTGAACTCAGGAGCTCAGGAAGGGTCTCCAGTGCCACACTTTAGATGTGGCACTAGTAATTTTGGGGACTTTCAGTGGAGCTTGGGCTTTCTGGGGCCTGAGCCATTCTGAAAATAGGACTTGAGGATTCTTTTGTACATTTTAGTCAAGGTGAATTTATACTGAAGTCTAAATCCACAGTTAATTACAATGAAGTATAAATGGTTCTGAAGGATTAGGGATGAGCTTTTGAAGGAGACCTCTGAATTTTAAGTAATCAATTCTCATTGAAAGTCACAGGGTTTGGGCATCTAACTCCCTTGTTCACTTTTGAAGATCCAAACTGAGGTCTAAAACTCATTCTGTCAACAAGCCAACAATATTTCTTTCCTGGGAAAGCAGTCTTCCAATATCCAAAAATTAAGACAATAGAGAGCCACATTTTTTGTTTTATTCTCCCAGGTTAATATTGAAACAATATAGAAATCGTGAAAAATAAACGACAGCAATTTAGATATTTAGTTTTCAAATCAGTTGACAGGCATAGCAAGGAAATGTTTTTACCTCTGAAGAAATAAATGTAATAAAATACTGTTTAAATAATGTTTAAGAGATGTGATGAAAGACGGGTTCATGAACCCTCTGTTATGTTAACAATTAGCAGTGCAGGACATGGATTTTGTTTAAGAAATGTGTACTGCTAATGCTGGGGTCAACATATGAATAAACAAGAATGGCAGCATGTACTAGAGCCAGGCTCTATTAATGTGTGCCTGGTTATCTGTGTTGCTTTACTTATCATACCAAGATCTGCTGCAGTCAGGTCCTGTGTGTCCCTGTGTCCACAGGCAGGTATGGGCAGTCATTCATACTCTGGTCCACATCAACACATCATGGGGGTTGGAATAGGTGATCTTTAAGGTCCCTTCAGCTCCAAACCATTCTATAATTTGTGTGTGCTGAAATTATTTTCTTGCTCAAAGTGAGGAAGGGACACATATCAATCCAGTACTGAGGTCTATGCTGACACACACTGCTAGAGGCAGCAAAGTCCATGGGCTGGGGCACTGACCTGGGATCACCCCAGGAGCTTGTTCTGCTATAGACTAACCATGGAATGCCAGCCAAGCCTCTGTGCTCTCCTCTCCCTTTCTCTCAGTTGTTAATCTTATTTAACATAAGCCTGTCTCTTGCTGATGGCAACAACTGTACCCCAAGCCTGAAGCTCTCACTGACAATGAAGATAAACTTCTTGGAGCTGGACTTCAGAAGACAGACATCTTGGACAGCTTCCAGTTCATCTCACCCCCAGTTGCAGCCTGTTTCCAGGCATATCCTTGGACAGCTTGCTCCTCAATCCTTCTCAGTGATAGCTTGGGAATAGACATGTAAAGCCAGGCCTAAGAAGCATCATCATGAGAAGGCCACTGCCATTTACAAAGAAGCAGCTTTCACCTTCATTATGCTTTAAATACTCTCTTAAGCCTTTTAATTTACAGACAGTGATGATGGAAAAGTCCGTTATCTGAGTCAACAACAATTCCCTTAAATATTTTCTAAATGACCCAAGTCACCAGACATTTCCAGGGGTTTTTCTATTTACATGGATCTGGTGTGATCTCTATTTTTTATGCTGCAAAACACATAGAGTAAGCCAAGCTCTGCTCCTGGGTGTTGGCAACGTGATGGCTTGTTCCAGCTAAATGTTGGCCACCCTCAGTTCCCACCACGGGCAATGGAATTTGAGGATATTCAGCACCCACAGGAAGCCCATGGACATCAATGGACATTACCTGGACCTCCAGTGCAATGCCTGATTAGATAACAGACAGTCTCTAGTCAGAGTGTATATTCTCTCTCTTTCATTCTTCCTTTTTCTTTCTCTGTCTTAATAATGTGTGTAGCTCTGATTTATTTTTTATCAAGATTAACAATGGAACAATACTGCTTCAAATATTAAAAAGGCAAAGAAATGTAGGTACTGAAAAGGAAGGAAAATACCTCAATTTCAAGCCTAAAGATTACTTTGGGTCCCAGAGGAAGCAGAAGCAATTTAGTGGCTGATACCCTTAGCAAGAAAAAAGGTTGTAAGATTAAGACCAACTGCTGTTTGGATAAGTGGTTGGTAATTGCACATATCAGCAATTATGTGCTGTCATATCATTTTTCTGCTACCTTACTCCTCTCTTGTGTCCCGTCAGGGTTTACTTGGAATGACCCCTCATCTATGGTCCTCTTTGGATTCACCTTCTTAATGTCATACAACAGTGCTTCGCAAGTTCAAAGAAAAAAGAAGTCATTATTACAGGAGGTGCCTGGTGGAGGTGCTCCTCTTCACAGATGTAGCTAGAGGCTACTGCTGTAATAAGCAGGCTTCCAGGGAGAGAAATAAAGAAAGGCCTCCTGAACCTGCAAAAACCCTCTTTGTCCTCCAGCCTCGCAGGGGGAGAAGGGTGTGTGTGGGGAGGGGAGTTTTAGTGGGGAGAGGTTTGAGTGGGGTGGGAGAGGATTGTCTCTGTGCATGGTTCAGATGCCATCCCGCCCCAGATGGTGCAGCACCTGGCTCCAGGTCACACTGTGGGGACTCAACAGGAGCTGAGTATGCTGGGTCTTGCCTGGTCAGGAAAGTACAGGTTATATTGAATCCTCTTCAAATGAAAAGGGGGAGCTTCAGTTCCCTACATGTAGGCTGCTTATAACTCCTGCCCCATCCGGGGACATTTTGGGGGGTAACAGTGGCCTGCCCTTGAGCTGAGCAGTGGGACCCACTTCTGCAGCTTGTCAGAGCCTTTGCATCACTCAGAAAGGCGAACACCATCAGAAACACCTTTTTCCTCACAAAAGTAACTGATTCCTCAGTAAAGTGTCAAAAGATAACACAGTCTGTTCCAGCTAAACTCATCTGTTCGTTGCCTGAGGGAAGCCTCCAGCTTATATGGCACTGGGTGCTCCCATGGAGCAGAAAATATTTAGCTCACTAATCAGATCCAGGCAGGAGGTGTAACAGGCTGCCTGCAGTGTGCCTATGGTACATCTAGAGAGGACAGGCACAGCTGGCCTTCAGGTGTCCCAGGACTGACCTGCAGTGATGCCTCCAAGGTCAGTGACTTTATAGGGATGTAAAGGAGAGCAGGGCTTGACATGGGGATCCCACCACACAGGCAGAGTCCTGTCTCTGCAAGGGCCACCAAGATGAGAAGCCCTGGGAAGGACCAGCAAACCTCTGTGTCACGCTGTGGGAGATGCCAAACCGCAGTCAAATGCAGGAGTCTTAGCAGTGATAGCAAGGTGCAACCTCACAGCTCGTGGAAGAGCTAATACCCTTTGAAAAGCAGATAAAAGATTCATCAGCACAGATGAAGATATGAGGGCCTGGGCTTAGACAGCCTGTAGTTCCTGCCAAGAAATTGTGTGGAAGGTAGAAATGAATTTAAAAGGTTGAGTGGGGGCCAGCAAGTCAATAACTGAATAATCCCACCCAGATAGGAAACCAAAGCATAAACAAGAGTCTCCACGTACTGACAAGTTAGCACTGGTTGCACTCTGGAAAGGATCCTAAAATAACAGAGATTCCTGGAGACAGAATAAACACATCTCTCAGTTGTCATCCTGAGCAGAGGGTAATTGCCTAGATGTCTGATTGACTCACTGCTAGAACTAAATATGTACTTCTCTGACATGCTGTCACCTCCTTCGCTGTACGTCTGAGATTTTTCAGTAAAGCACATCAGGAATCAAAGCAAATGTCCACAAGGAAAGATGCATCTCGACCTTGAACTTTAATCGCTGGCAAAGGGCTGAAAATATATTTAAAAAGAAGTAAAGTTTCTGCATTCCTGAGAGTGACATTTAATCTCAAAATTCCCTGGGGGCTCGTGCACATATGACCCAACCCCCCAGCAGAGGAACATGGAACTGCAGTCTGAGGGCTGGGAGTTGGCATGTGGCTTCCTGAGCTCGCCAGTCACACCAGGACATGGTCCTCAGCTTCCCATCTGATCCCCATTCCTTTCCAGCAGTTTCCTTCAAGGTTTCCTTCAAGGTCTCATCCCAGTTTGCACTGCTGTAAGATATAGAGTTCCTAAGTTAATCTTCCTTCTAGTTTTAGCAGGTCTTTTACCCCTAACCTGAGTGTTTAATGCCTTCTCAAAGCCACTACAAGGCTCTTGGTTAGCGATTCCTGTCAAGTGCTGAGTAGTCCTGTTTACCCTGTTCATGCTTTGCTCCCCTCCTCAGAGCTAGTTCCAGTTTCAGCTATGTTAAACTTTTATTTACAGAAATGTTAGAGAATCTACTCAGAAGCCTTAACTCTGTAACATTAATACGAATTTTCAATAAGTCTCAGAAGTTGCAGGGGGCTGGACAACTGTCAGCATAATACTGATTTTCAAATTAAAGTGATCTGGCCAAATCCTAGGCTGGTCCAGCTTCTGGGAAGGACGATGTGCTGGTTTAGAGTTCAGTTCATAATAGATAGAAAAAATACTATACTAAATGCAATATAATGTGAATTCATTAAAGGTAATTGTTTGTTAACTTGATGTTATACTCTAACATGTAAGAGACTTGTATAAAATAGTTTACTCCATACTCTCTGGCAGTTTGGTACTGAACTCTACCAAGATTAACCTGGCATATCATATGTGAAAGAAAAGTATTTATACAACAGGTCTTTAAAGGTAACTGTAAGAGTAATTGAAGATAATTCTGAAAGAGTCCTGGTTCTAAGTCCTTGGTCTTTCATTCTATGCATTTGGAGAAAAAAATAAGGTCATCATCAGAAGGCACAGACATTTGATGTGTGATCAAATGGGGCCCTGAGCAATCTGATCTAGTGGGTGGTATCCCTGCCCATGACAGGGGAGTTAGAACCAGATAATCTTTTAGGTCTCTTCCAACACAAACCATTCTATGACTAACAGCAAAAGGATAACCATGGATGTGGGGTAATCTGCCTCACCTGGTCAGCTGTCCATGGGTAATTGATGTGGTTGGACACCAAGTAACTCCTCACCAAATGAGGAATGTGTGCAAGCTTCCATGCAGGCTGCAATGGAACCAGGCAAAAGCAAGTGTGCAAAATGGATAATGCAAAACCTGCGGAACATCTGCGAGTGGCAGGGGGGAGAAAGGTCACATCACCTCACAAGGCAGGTCTGCTACAGTCCCTGCTTCAAAACTGCCTCCAGGAGGGCAGCCCAGCACTACCACCAGGTGATGGAGCAGGAGGGGCTCTGAGAAGCTCTGCAAAGAAACCAAGAATCATGGCATGGGGTGAGTGGAAGGACAGCTTCTTTTTTTCCCCCCATAGAAGGGACACTGGAGGCAGAGAAGGGATTAGTAATGTGGCAAGGCAGAGGAAACCATGCACCTCAAGTCCTAGTTGGTGATCCAAGAAAAAAACTGTCTTCTGGATCTCCCCGTATTTGAGAATTCACTCTGGAGTGAGCTGAATTCCAGGTCAGAGTGAGGTTGTGAGGCTGGTTTGCAAACTCATCCCTTCCCCTTGCCTCCAGTCTGTGAAGGAAAAAAGCATTTTCTAACAGAAACTCCAATGGAGCTATCACTTTGTGAACACTGCAAATATATATGTATGAAACAACTTGTCTAATATATGTTCAAGATAAAAATTTGAGATGTCATAGAATTTTATCTGAAAAAAACAGGCATTCATGTACAAGAGGATAACTTCAAACAGATCTACCCATCTATTCAACTCTGAGCTTTAGGCAGATAGAGAAATCAAGCAGAAGCAAAAGCAGGCAGACACATGTAAAATGATTTCTGCAGGCAGAGCAAGACATTCCCACAAGTACTGTTAAACTGAGTTTTGAAGGGAAGAGTGGCAATCACCCAGCCTGTGACTCCTGCCCTCACACACACGGCCCCAGGAGCAAAGGGATGCACTCAGCTGAGACAGGTAGACATGCCCCAGAGGACTGGGGTGGCCCACATCTTCACTGCAGCCAGCCCGTTTTGCCCAGGATGACCTGCTCATCTTTTCTTTTAATTTAGGAATAATGTTACAACAACCCAGGGCAAATGGGGTTAGGAAGGCGCACAGAACAGACTGGAGGAGTCCAGCCCAAGACAAGGTGCTCTGTCAGTGCTGCCTTGGTCTGATTTCATATCAGCAATGACTGGAAATAAGCCCAGTGATTTAAAAACAGTATAAATGAGTCCTAGTTTGGGCTTACCTTACATCAACTTCCCTTGCTCTCCCAAATGGCATTTGTCATCAAGATAAACCTTCTCTCACAGAGACTGCAAGGCCAGAAGGCTCTCTCCATTCATTTACATATTAAAACTCAGCAGATGATGAAGAAGCAATTACTGGACACAGGAATAGTAGTTCTCTTAGCTATACTTATTAATTTTCTTTTTTTCTCAATGAAGTCTATGCTCAACAAAAAGGTGACTGTTTGTATACAGCACACTAAGTGATTTAACACTGTCAAAATGAAGGAGGAAATGCAACGTGAAGGAAATGTGTGGCACTTCACAAGCAAAGAGCCCCATCATTTCAGCTGGGCTGTGTCTGCCACTCTGTCAGAGGAGAGGTTTGTGCACAGAGCCAAGTGCTGAGCAACACCTTGAGGTAGTGCTCAAGTGGAGGTTGCTGCTCCCCTGCCCTGGGCAAAGACAAGTTCAGCTCTGGCCCAGCAGCCAGGTTGGCTGTTCCAGCTTTATCTTCATGATTGCTAATGGGATGGGTGCTCTCTTTCACCCAGACCATCTGTACAGATGATGGATCCTGAAGATGATATTTTTAACTCTCATTTTCCCTTCCAGTGCATTTGGATTTATTTTTTTCTCTCCTACGTTGTTTCAACATTACTTCATTCAACTACAGGGAGTATCAGAAAATATTACCTTAGCTTGAGAATAGATTTGCTCTCAAGTGACACCTTGCAATACTACTGATTTATACCCTTTTCCTGCATTGATCTGTTGGGAGATTTCATCATCTATATCTGACATAAACACTGTATTATTCTGTATTGCATTATACCCTAGAAATCCAGTCAAATCCCTTTGCTCCTCAAATTAAAGCAATATGCATTACGGTGTCCTGATTTCCTTCTATTCTTGCATTTGCATTTTTGTATCATGCTCTAGATTACTCATGTATATTTTGGCATAAGCATCTCCCTATTCATTTAAGAATATTGCCTTTAATCTTCGTTATACCTTGAAGCATACAAAACCCTGGCCCCAAAGGACACATGGAGACACTTAGTTCCCACAGTGGCTGAATTTCTGTGGAAGTTATTTAAAGCAAATGTGTTGGTCAGAAGCCCAAGCCTTGTTCCAGGGCAATCCCATGGACACCCACAGCGTGGCCCTGGTGTCACTGCTCCACACAGCCTGTGAGGTTCGTCTACCGCACTGCAGATCCCCATGTTTTTGGGAAGGGACTTCTCTTCCTCCCACAGTGGTGCAGACTGCAGCCCTGCAGCCTAAAGATTTTAGTTGTGTGGCTGTGCTGGGATGCCTGAACTCCTCAGTAGTTTAAGCATGGAGTTCATTTGCCTGCAAGAGGCTTTTTGATGACAGATAAAGAGTAGCAGCTGTAGGTTGTACCTTTGCTGCAAGAGATCAGCTGGGTTCGTTGCATTGTTTTTATCCACCTTAAGCATCTTCTGACCATCAAAATGATCTTTTATTGTATTTCTTACCAAATATAATTCTATAAGAGAAAATCTAATAATATATGACATAGTTTGGTAGTTTGGGTGGGGCTAGGATCTTTTTTGGGTCTGCATTACTTTTCGTATTTGTTCTGTGCTAGGACTCCATGTAGGTCAAATGTTTGCCCCAATCTAATGGTTATACTGGAAATGTATTCAGTCAAACAGAGCCCTGAGTTCAGTAAAACTACCCGACATACATGAAAAGTCAGGATATTCCTTGAAAGAGGAGCTTCTGACTTTTCTGAGGTAGTATACAGCCATGTTGGTTCAGAGTTGCTGTTTGATAATCTACCAGTCTAGATAACCTGGTATATTCTTTATTACAGACTTTCCTGGACTATTAAACCCCCCAGAATGTGGTCTGAAGTAAAGCTTGTATAAAAGATGTCTGTAATTTAGGAACAGGTAATTCTTTCCATAGGGAGGGAGACCCAGGTTTTACTCCAGGTCATATTCAAAGTGACCCTTTTATTGTCTTCTCTTATTTTGAAACATCCGCTCTAAGATATCTGAGATCTGGCTTAAAGATCTGAGCACAAAAGACTCTGCAGGCAATCAGAGCCAAGGTGCACAGAGACACCAAAAATGCCCATTCAGTCGGGCTCAGGGCAGGCTCCCAAGAAGCATCTTGAAAGCTGCAGTCCTTTACAAAGAGCAGCAAGAAACCCACAATGCCAAGGAAGATCCAGTGGCATGTGCAAGCCATGACCCACCACAGTGAGCGCATGCAATGTGGCCTATGGGTCCAATATCAGCAAAAAGAAAGGAATATTGACCACAGTGCTCGGAAAGGAGGAGCCTTAGTATAAGGAAAAGCAGAGGTTGAAGATAGTTTGACAAGAAAATCACTGTCATCTGGAGTCATATGGAAAATGTGTCTGCAGCTTCCACATCAGCGCGGGAAACTTGTTTCTCCACCCATATTTAGGTCATGCCCTCATGAAGAGCCACTAATCAGTCCAGCATTGCTTCAGTCACAGTCAGTGATGGAAAACTTTCCTTGAGGACAGTTCAGCATCATGTCCGTAAGGACACCATGTCCTGAAATCTCCCACAAAATGCCTCTCCCTGGCCTGTTCACATACAAGGGATAAAAGATGCTACTACTGCTGAAAATTAACAAAGTTGTATATTCAACTCAAGCAGAAGAAACCTACCTCTGCTAATGTCCATGGGGTAAGGAACAAAAAGAACAGACAAAAAGAAGAGGGCAACAAAACCAGTTACTTTGTGCCTACAAGAGCAAGCAAAACACCACTGCATATTCATTAAAATTTGTTCGAAAGTTCAGAAAATTCCCTCCAGAAATATAATGGGTGATAATTCAATTTATTTATGTTTTTAAGGCATGAAGACTAGCTTTTATTTCCCTCAACCGCGCCTCTATTATTATTAATCTACTTATCTCCTAAAAAGATCATCTAAACTACACTTCTATGGGGAATGTGATCTTTGGCCATGTAGGGCTTTGTAATTATCCAGTTCTGAATGAACTTGTTGTTAAAACATTTTTTAAGTCTAATGAAAACATTAGATCAATTCCTTGCAGTGATAGTTGTCATTAAATCAATAGTGTGTGTAAGACCATTATACTGATATTTGACATGAACTGCCAAAGGTCTGCTAACAATGAAACCATACTGAAGTGTGTCCTCTGCTAAGCATATTTTATGCAAGATAAAAATCTGTTAAGTCTACAGTAACTGAAACTTTTCTTCTTTAACTAAAATAAACAGATATGTGAAATGTTGCTGTAAATCACACTAGGACCACCATGATCACATAGGTTTTGGAGCTGGTCCTTTTATCACACCTTTATCACAGCTGTGCTTTCAAATCAGTTAGAAAAGCTTTTTTTGATTGTTTATCTGTGTGGCTTAAAAAGCACAGGCGGAGATTTCATAATAAAGCTCTGCTGAGCAGGGAGGACCTAATCCTACCCCCTCCAAAAGCAACAGCACTGTGACCAACTTCAGTGAAAGTCAGACTACTCCTCAAGTCCCCGGTAAAGGGACTCAAGGAACAGCCTTCTAACTGTCTTCCCAAGGAGGAATAGCATCTCTGCATCACAGTGGAGCTGCTTGCAGGGGCAATAAACACAACCAGCCCCATTAACACATGGAGAGGAGCAGTTTGTTTGTATATGCCATTATATTGCAAATGGGAAAGACAATTGAAAAACCTCTGGCTCTGTGTTCTTTAAACATTCTTCCAGTGGCCTACAAACTCATTTTCCCCTCCTACCAGGAGTGCTTCAGAAACAGCATCAATGCAATCCTGTGAGACTGTGATGTCTGATATAACGTTATGGGACTCTTATCATGAGACAAATACAAAACTTGAGAAAATGGCTAACTGATAGAAAGACTGAAGACCTCTCAGCTTTTTGTTTCTTGAGATTTATAAACCTAACAATTTTTTACTAGTAGTAGGTAACATTTGCTCACAGGCAAAGGAGGTGTGAGTACACAAGTTTAGGGGGAAATAATGGTCAGTGGTAGACACTGACAATTTTCTGGCTGAAAAGTGAAAATTCTAACTAATTAATTTCAAACATATTAAAGATTTACTATGAAGTGGGCAGAGTACTACTGAATCAATCTTACGAAATTTGGTCCTTAGAAAAGGCATTTTTTCCCAAACAAACAAAATCATTGGTATGGGAAAAAACCCCAACCACCCGAAACATTCTCCGAGGCTTTGGTTTCTGTAATTTTTGCAGCAGAAAATCCCAACCAGCGCCGAAGTTGAGCGAGCCCCGAGCAGAGACAGGTCCTGCCCTGCCCTGTGCGATGGCTCCCACTAATGGCAGCAAGGGAAAGCTCGGTCACTCCCAGCACAGCAGAGACACAGAACCCTCTGCAAAATGTTCTTCAACTCTCTTTGGTGTTTGGTTTTAAATGCCTAAAAATACAGTTGCCAACTAGATTTTCATTAATTTTTTCAATACTCAGAATATGAGCGTGACAGAGAATATTAGTCTTCTTGGATGGGTTTTATCTCACCATCAGACATCTGCAATGTAGACTTCCGGAAACACATCCTCTTTGTAACCAGGGAAGCAAGATCCAGAGTGTGATTCCCATTGAAGACTTGACCTATTTCAGACATGGGATGAGTCGTGAACTGGATTTCCCTACCAGCTTCTGCCTTGACAGTACATGTTGCTGGGGTAATTGGTCCAGACGTGATGGAGTCCCAGCGTGACTGCAATGAGACATGACACAGACAGCACAGTCCTTGTGCTCATCTAGTGAGGATGACAGTGATCAAAATGAGGATATTACGTAATACTCTACTCTAGGGAGCCTGAATCATGGGATCAGTGCTGTCGGATAGAGGTTCTTGTTTATGGTTGAGGAGAATTTCAACCCCTTTATCATGGGGTCTTGGGATTTTGGTCAAGTCTATGCTCCAGTTCTGTTACAAGGAGGGAAAGTCCAAAAAACTCAGGTGAGGACTGGTAACCATGGAAGGAGATGGAGAAATATGTTTGTTTTACATTTTGGTTTTGAGAACAACAGAGATTCTCAAAACAGCTGAGTAATTTTTCATTGGTAACACCACAGAGAGATCTCCCAGCAATCAGATGCAGAGACCAGGTGCAGACTGACTGTCCTTGGGTCCCACTTCTAAATCTCAGATACATTTTTATAAGGTCTCTGACTTAAGGAATAAACATGAGAGGATTACAGCTAATCAGATAAGTATGTCTTTATTTAACTGTAACACCAAAAATTAAGCTTGCAGTATGTTCTTAAGAGATAGAGTCTTCAATCTAATTCAAAGATTTTTTGGAAAGATTTTTTTTCCTTTTAATTAAATTGTGTTGATTTTATTTGACATTTGATTTCAAGTGAGCTGCCAGTGTTTCTCCTTCACTGTCTGCCTCAAATCCATGTGTAACATGTCACAGTCAAAAGTCCACACCGTTTCTCCTGAAGGCTGCTATATTTTAGGTTCTCTGTGGGTCATATAGATCAGCCCAGGTACAGATCAGCCACCTGAACACTTCACACAGAAGACCTGGATTTCTGTCCAGTGCAGAAGAGCACTGTGCAGATAGCACAGGATGCATTTGGCATATGTATATGCAGGGAAAGTAAACCTGCTGGCACAGGATAGGCTTTCCTCGCACCAAGGATCAAGTTATGCTGGGATAAGCAAAATAGCAAATACCCTGCAAATACCCAGGAAGATATTTTGAATAGCTTGTTGGGTGCTTGCCAGACTAGCACCCAACAGGTACAGCCAATAGTGGAGGTGAAGTAATGTTGCTTCTTTTCAGCGGCTTGTCCAAATCTAATGTATCTTGTATTCCAGCTCCATGGATGAAGTCTCAGCCTGAGGTTTTAGCCTGAGTCAGTCCTCTGGTCTGGCCCCAGTCACACACTCACCATGGTTGCACAGTGTTGGAGCTGGCAAGGACAGAGCTTCCACTCTTGATGGCAGTGCTCCTTGCAGGACCGCAGTGGTGGCCTTTGGGGACCTGCTTGTGTTCAAAACCACACACATAACTGCAGAGCCCAAGAAGGAACTTACAGAGATGCTCCATCAGCAGCAAAAGGAAGACCAGAGAAAATGTGGGGCTGCTGCTGAATCAGATCGGTGTCCTGGTAATGGGAGGCACAGGAAGGTGGAATTACAGAGAGCAGCTCTGCTGAGAAGGACTTGAGAGTGTTGGTGGGTGACAAGCTGACAATGAGCCAGCAGCGTGCCCTGGGGCCAGGAGGGCCAATGCGATCCTGGGGTGTATCAGGAAGCAGTGGCCAGCAGGTCGAGGGAGGTGATCCTGCCCCTCTACTCAGCCCTAGTGAGGGCACATCTGGAGTGCTGTGTCCAGTTCTGGCTTCCTCAGTACAAGAAGAAGGTACTGGAGAGGGTCCAGCAGAGGGCACAAAGGTGATTAATGGTCTGGAGCATCTCTGTTATGAGAAGAGACTCTGGGAACTGAGCCTGTTTAGTCTGGAGAAGAGAAGACTTCAAGGGCATCACATTAATGCATGTAAATATCTCAAAGGTGGGTGGTCCCAGACTCTTCAGTGGTGCCCAGTGACAGGACAAGGAGCAATGGCCATAAACTAAAACACAAGACGTTTCATTCCACCTTAGCATGAGGAAGAACTTCTTAACACCGAGGGTGGCAGAGCACTGGAACAGGCTGCCCAGGGAGGTCGTGCAGTCTCCCTCTCCGGGGACATTCAAAACCCACCTGGATGTGTTCCTGTATCGCCCGCTCTAGGTGACAGTGCCTTGGTAGAGGGGTTAGACTGCATGATTTCCAGAGGTCCCTTCCTCTGTGATTCCGTGATATGTTAAAACAGAGTGTAAGTTCATCAGAATGGGATCTAATGTACCAAACCATAAGAGAGCTAAAAAGAGGATGCTGTGCTATACAGAAGTCATCATCATCATCATGGCTAGGCTCCATGAATGAAGATTTGGGAAGGGCTCTACCCACATTTGTTCCAAGCGCGCTGGTGGCTAAAAAGGCCAATACGAGATAGGCAGGTCCGGTTGTAAAAGGCACAACAGAAAGACTCCTTAGATGGTAAATTCTGCAAGGCACGATTCTTTCTGCGTTGTCTTTTCTCCTCAAGGGTGATCCTGCGTGCTTTCTCAAAAGCATCAGCAGCGTTTTAGATGGTGTGTCTCCAGACCTCCCGATTTGAGGCCAGAGTAGACCAGTTATGGTGATCAATATGGCCAAGGCTGAGATGCTGTTTCAGGGAGTCCTTGTATTTTCTCTTTGGGGCTCCTCTCTTGCGGCAGCCGGTGGCAAGTTCACCATAAAGCAGGATCTTAGGGAGGCGGTGGTCCTTCATCCTAGAGACGTGCCTTGCCCAACGCAGCTGTGTTCTCAGCAGCATGGCCTCAATACTTGTGATTGCTGCCTGTTCAAGAACAGATGTATTGGTCACATAATCTGACCAGTGGATGTTTAGGATTGTACGGAGGCAGCGTTGATGGAAGCGTTCCAGGAGTCGCAGGTGATGGCAGTAGATGACCCATGATTCAGATCCATATAAGAGAGTGGACAGCACTATGGCTCTGTAAACACTGATCTTTGTACTTTTCTTCAAGTGTTTATTACGCCAAACTCTTTTATGGAGTTTTCCGAAAGCACTATATGCCTTTGCTAACCTGTTGTCTATCTCTCTGTCAATCTTACC